AGCGTAGCCTAGTTTAAGGCAGTTGGAATCTAAACGTGGGATGACAAGTTGTGGTGATTTTAGCGGCATGTAAGGAGTTGTGGTTAAGTTGAGGTTTGTTTGTAACCAAGAATAGATAGAAGGAATAGGAGAAAATGTGGTTATAAGTTGAACACCACACCAAAATTACTTTGTTTCTCTCATTTCAGTCATTGCATCAGAGCCACGATCAAGAGCAGGTAACAACAACAGACGAAGGATTTGGATCCAAGTTGCACTCGCATTCTAGGACTCCGCAGCACGCACGTCAATAGAGTCGCGGGCAGAGCAGGACTCGGAGGGGTGGCGAGGTTGTGGTGCGCGAGATCGTGAAGGAAGGCAGCGAAGGCGCGGTGACCTACCCAACCCTCACGAAGACAAATTACTTGGAGTGGCCCATCTTTATGCGCGTTAAGGTCCAGGGCGCCAATCTCTGGGAGGCTGTCGGCATGGGCGATGGAGTGATCTGCATGAGCAGGAAGCATTGGGTGCCATCCTCTGCAACGTCCCACCAGAGATATTGTCGGTGCTCGCTACCAACGACAACACCAAGGTCGTCTGGGACGCGATCAAGGTTATGCGGACCGTGTTCGTGAGCCGGGCCGACAGAAACTGCGCAAGGACTTCGAGAACATTGCGTTCAAGAGCAGGGAGAGAAAGCGGCAAAGAGTCTGTCGCCAACGGTGACAAGCCACGCCACAAGGGCAATAAGCCACCGCCCATGCCATGGCAACAAGAGCAACGGGGGTGGCAAGCCACCGCATCGCAGCGACAAGTGCAATTACCATGGTATAAAGAAACACTAGGCGCACGAATTCCGCAAGGACAAGCGCGGACACGGTGACCAAGGCAAGCGTGATGAAGCGCATCTATCGCAAGGACATGTGGAAGAGTCAGCAGCTCTACTGATGGCTGTTGCGGGCGACGTCACCCCAAATGTCCAAGTCACGCCCAGAGCGTCCACGACGTCCTCGCTTGGTTCCCAGTTCGCATAGATTGGCGACGCGGTGGTGCAACATGCCTTCTTAAACGAAGAGAGAGTTGTGTCCTTGGTCACTGCTGACGGTCATTGGTTCTTAGACACATGAGCTAGCAATCACATGATCGGGAATAGTGCAACATTCACCGAAATCGACCAACAAATCAAAGATACGCTCAAGTTTGGTGATGGTTTTATGGTTGGCATAAAGAGGCGGGGATTCATTCTATTCGCGTGCAGGAACAACAAGCACGAGGTTTTGATCGAGGTCTAGCATATTCCTCAGCAGAAGAGCAGTATCATTATGTTAGGACAGCTAGCTGAGGTGGGTGTTAAGACTGTCATCAAAGAGGATGAGATGTTGTTGTACGATCGTCGTCGTGCACTGCTCGAAAAGGTCTATCGGATGCGAAACAGGTTGTACTCCATGATCATGGCTCCAGCAAAGCCGGTGTACTAGCTGCTGCAGGCTGGAGATATGGCGTAGTACTGGCATTCGTGCTATATAATCTTGTGTAAATACTAAACTACCCTTCTTTAAAACAAAATATCAAATATATTATTTAAATATTAATATAATTATGGAAAAGGTGATTAATTATTCTTATATTATTATTTTACCTAAACACATTTACATATTTCAAGAAAAAATCAAGAACACATAATAAAATTCGTTTAAATTCCCAACTTTCACTACAACAATGCAACAACTCTCCAAGAAGAAATCCACAAAAAATGCACGAAAAATTCAGTCGCAAGTCACAAGATTAATAATGTAAGACTATAACAAGGTTTACAAAAGAATAACTCACATGACAATACAAAATCCTGTATATACACATCTCAACTTCGTCCCATGTATTTCAAACATAAATACTCATGCATATACATTGCAGACCTAAAAACAGGTATCAACAACCAAAGGGGACAAAAAACAACAAACAGTAGCAAAAAGTAAACATTTTTAAGCTTCATGAATTCTCATCAACTTTCATAACAATTCTCGTCCTTCTCTCCCCAGCTAAACTCATATTTTCTACATCAACAAACCTTGATTTTTTAAACAATTTCACAATCTCTTTCACCTCGTTCGGCCCGTACTCCTCCACAGTCACCATGCAAACCCCACCATCCCTCACTGTCCTATCCAGTTGCCTAACGAATCGGCTTGGAAAAAGGGCCCGATCCAGGTACAACTCAAGCCCAAGATAAAAAATCCCATAAAGGGCAAATTTTGGGGATTCGCCCGGCTCACCAGCAGCGGCGACTCTACCAACTCCACACCGGTGACGTCCTCCACGCCCATCTCCTGCAGAGCTTGCACGGCATGTTTCGACCCGACAAGTTGGTCGAACAAAAGCACAGGTAGGCCGAACGGGACTGCAGAGCGAAGAGCCTTCATGTCGAGGAGGACGTTACATGTTCAAATCGACTAGTCGAGTTGGGGCCATCGGATATCCTGGTTGAAACTCGGCCAGAAAGAGTGACTGGTCGAAGAATCGACTAGAAGGACAACATGTGAGCTCAACCTACACAGCATTCTATCTCGAGGTGATTTAGACCAGTCGCACAATTAGACCGTCTAATAAAATAGACTAATGAATAAGAAGAAATATTATTAGAATAAGGACCACACGTGGATAGGACCACGTAGAGTAACAAAATTAAGCAGTTCTGGCAGTTTGGGTCGTATGGATGGACAGTTCGGAAAGTCCGGGTAGCTTATCCGGGCAGTCTTAGGCAACAAGGTAACACCTATCTATATAAGGGACTGAGGTATGCCCACTACAGCATTACACTTTCTATACTCACGAAACTCTCATATACTTTATTGTTCACCGTCTTCGTCATTCACGTCCTGACTTAAGTTTTTTGCACGTATTGAAAGTCATCCACCGATGAAAGAGGTAGATCAGCTCGAATCCTGCTGGTCGAAGGTCTTTCCATACCATATTATAAGTGATTTATAATCTTACAAATATATAATCATAAAGTATAAATGTATATTGAATATATAAAATTATATATTCAAATATATAAATATATTGCAATATATTCAGGGCAGGCCCGTCTATCAAACGAGCCTGATCTTGTCCATTTTGAAAACAAGATAGGTCCGACTGCCCAAAGAATGCAAGTCATGTGGGGCCGAGATGGACTCGACTTGGCCTGTTTTCACATTACAATCCTTAGTCTAACAAGTCGAACTATAAAAATAATATAAAAATTTATATGTTCGAATTTTAAAGAACTGAACTCACAAATAATTCATTTTGTTTAGCCTCTCTAGAGGGGCTTCACAATGAGTTTCAAATAAAGAGGATCACGAATTTGAAACAATTGGGGGGTTTTTATGTATTTGCCCTTTGTGCATTTTATTCAAATTTCTTTGTTTTTCTTTCTCATTTATCCTTCATTTTTAAGAAAATTGAAAGACGACACCATTTGGGCCGAGCATGTATTGGAGGAAGGGTTTGGTGCGAGCATCCTGGTGTTGTTTTGGTGGGTTACCTTTGGGAGTAAAGGGGTCAGTTTGGTTCGAATTTAGTCATCCATCACTTGAAGGGAGTTTCCAAATCTGTGTCTTTGGCAAACTTCTGTCTTGCTGAGTGTCATCAGGTGTTGGTTCGCATGATAGAGGTTCGGAGTAGTGTTCAGTTGATGTGGAGGTTCTTATTCCAATTAGTAGGTTGTGTTTTTTTTTTTTTTTTTTTTTTTNACCAACCCAACTACAACACACAAAACCTAAACACACAAGCTCCCAACAGGATAGTATACACTACTCTTAGCAGGAGAATACAACAAAGCCTACACGGGCGAAACAAAACATAGAACAAAAAACACGCAACTAACCACTGAAAAAAAAACACATAAAAACAAACTACTAGAAAACACGCCCTCCCCCGCCAACCTGACAAGCACCCAGGACTTTCGCCATCCAACCGACTCCAAAGCGGAAAACTGAAGAGGATTCAAACCCCCAACCCAAAAACACACGGGTCGAGAAAACTCCCCCTACGGCTAACTCGGCCCAGACCGACGGACCTGAAGCCTCCCCCAAGAGACCACCACAAATAACTCCGAGAGACCAGAACCAAATGTACTCCCCTTCACACTAATCAGTTGTTGCGTCTCGAGGACTACAGTCACCTAGACAAGAAGACAGAACACGAAGTCCTGACCTCGGCCAACAATCGCACACGGCTACAAGCCCCAACCCACGCCCCACCCAAGAACCAGCGACCAACAACCACCGCCATAGCATCCGCACAAGGATGAGACCACTCGACATCTGGGATCGTTAGCTCGTTGGAGGAGCAACCAAACCGGAGTCATCGGGGAGACGAGAGTCGAAGACAACCTCCCGAGTCAGACCTCTGTCCCAGCGCAAACCTATCCACTCCCTCCACCAAGAGCCGGTGACCCACCCACAGAGAAAAGGCTGACCGAATAACGCGCCCCGAACCCCCACCGTTTTCACCTCACCACAAAACCGACAGAATCCCCCACAAAACCAACAGAAACCCCAAAGGCACAAAGCGAAAGAGAGCATCCGGTGGCGGACACTCCCCGTCTCAACCCCAGGAGGAGATGGAGGAAAAGAAGAAGCAAAGGCCGGCGAACCCGACCAATCTACAGCGCCCATCACCCCGTCAAAAAACCGCCACCAAAACAGCCGACGAGCTTGCCCAAGGACGGCAAGGTAAATCGACTAAAGTGATAGAACGACCCAGGGGGTGAGGGCTGCGCTGGAAGGAACGTCTCTACGAAGGCGCCAGAGCACAGCCGGGAGGAGGCAACTCAAAATAGATCAAAAGAGGCGAGCTACTACAGTAGTTGGGGGATTAGGGATATTGGGAACGAAGAGCTGTCTGTGAATGCTTGATTCACTATTACTAATTTGTGATTGTAAATATGTGCTTATTTTAAAAAATCCTCATTANAAAACACGACAGCATCAGTTGACCTGGACATAAAAGCCTCACTGAAGAATCTACAGTAGATATTTCTCCTACTGTCCCCACATTAACAAAAGTCTGTGGATGTATGGATTAGATTCTAGGAATGAACTGGCTATACCTCTACGCTCCTAATTCTGATTTCTGAGCTGTAGGCCTTGGGAGAATTTTCTTTCTTTCTTTTTTTTCTTGTTTTGAAAAATGAATGTCGCTCAAGAAGCCCAGAACCGGGAGGCATTCCGGCACGCCGTCGTCAACACCCTCGAACGCCGTTTGTTTTACATACCTTCCTTCAAGATCTACCGCGGTGTCGCCGGCCTTTATGATTATGGGCCTCCGGGCTGCGCCGTTAAGTCTAACGTCCTCGCCTTCTGGCGTCAGGTCTGCAAATGCATGTCTTTAGTTTTAATTAATCTTCTTTTCAGCTAATTGGACGAGAGCCCAAATTGGGGTGTGGTAATTTCTGTTATTTATGGTTTGTGATTGCGCGTTCTTTATGGGCGGAGGTAAAAGCTGGAGAATTTGTTTGAAAAATCACTGATTTTGGGAATCTTTGTAAATCCGGGGAGTGGTTCTGTTGTTATATAGCGATTGCATAATTGTCTTTTGTGTAGTATTTTTCTTTTTTTTTTTTCTCTTTGAATCATTGTGACTGAACACAACATATTTTAAATGCAAGACTATAATTGGTGCAGAAAATCCGTATGTTTGTCAATATAGTGGAACTGGAGTTTTGCTAGTTTGGCTTATTTGTTTAAAGTACTGATTAAATCTCAGGTGATGCGTATCATGAAGCAGCAATATGTGTTTTTTTGCTTGTATAGATTGTTATTGTTGCATTAAATTGTTCCCTTGATTTATGTAAGGATTCTTCTTGCAAAAATATGCCTTCAGAAGATTTGTTGTTGTGGAGGTGGAAATAGTCAACCATAACTTGGCAGTATTCGTAATTAGATGCTAAAACTTGAACTACCTAAGAGAGTGTTTGTTGGATAGATTGTAAAGCGAGTTCATCATGTGTGGTATCAAATCTAACCATCTGGTCCATCCATCTTTTTTATTTCCAATTCTGATTTGGTGAAGCAAAAATTACAAGCTGAACCTAAAATTTGCAAACACTAACAAGTGATGTTTCAAGTTAAAAAGTAGGAATCTCATTTTCTTTGGTTACTAAAATATTTCCATTTTTGTTCAAGTGGTGCTGAATATATTCAACTTTTTCCATGCTTTGTTCACATCTACATTTATTTTTTTTTTCGTCTAAAGTTTATTTCTATGTTCCAGCATTTTGTCCTGGAGGAGAACATGCTAGAAGTTGATTGCCCATGTGTCACTCCAGAGGTTGTGCTCAAGGCATCAGGCCACGTGGACAAGTTCACCGACCTTATGGTCAAAGACGAAAAGACTGGAACATGTTACCGAGCAGATCATCTGCTCAAGGATCATTGCAAAGAAAAGCTCGAGAAGGACCCTAATCTCAGTGCTGATAAGGCAACTGAACTTAGGCATGTGCTTGCTGTGCTGGATGATCTTTCTTCAGAGGAGCTTGGTGCTAAAATAAAGAGTTATGGAATTACTGCTCCGGACACAAAGAACAGTCTGTCAGACCCTTACCCTTTTAACCTAATGTTTCAGACATCAATTGGGCCATCTGGCTTGAGCAGTGGGTGAGAACATGTCCGTTAAACGGTTTTTATTCTTTGGCTTACTCAGTGGTCCTGTGTTGATTTGTATTTTCTTTCTTAATTAGTTTTACTTTTTTGATTTAACTGGTTGCAGGTATATGCGTCCTGAGACGGCTCAGGGTATTTTTGTGAATTTCAAGGACTTGTACTACTATAATGGCAACAAGCTTCCTTTTGCAGCTGCACAGATTGGTCAAGCTTTCCGAAATGAGGTCTCGTATTCTACCATGATGCTTGCATTGCTACTTGCTTTCTTTGAGTATCTTCCTAGTGTAGCCTGGTGAGGCTTATAAAAATCTATGATCTTTCTGTTTCTTAGTATGAATAGCATACAGAAGATGCTAATTGTTTTATCAGTAGGGACCTGGAGAAGGTATTTAATTTTTCTGATGGGTAAAAGAAGAGTTTTATTTTTAGAGAGTGTGTGTGAGTTGAATCCCAACTCTCAATATTTGTACATGGTTTAGTTAAAATTTGGAAAAACAGGGCATGTTTGCTCTTGGTTCTCAAAGAGGAATGCATCTGTTCATTAGATATATAGAAGCTTGCTAGCATTTACAAGATTTTTTCAATGTAAAAAAAGATGATTTTCTCTTTTGGCAGTTTTTGTCAGTTTAATGAATACGAAGAGCACATGAAAAATTTCCCTCTACTAGGTTCTAATCTTGCTTTGGTTGTTAAATTTATTTCTTTCCTTTTCTTTCTTGCTTTACTTTTTTTGCATGCCCTTTGACCACTTTGCTTATTGTTCATTTCTCAACAATCTTTAACTTTGATCCTTTGGTTGAGCGCACATGTTTTGAATGCTCTCCTAAACATTCGCTGGACAGTGTTATAAGTTTCTATTTGGCCTCGGAGCACTTAAACATTATTTTCGTAAAAGCAAGTTTTTTTTTTATTCAATGTTCATATTAATAAATCGCTATTGAAGTGTGATTCATTGTTAAGTTTGCTGATATTCTTTGGAATCTTAGAAAATCTGCAAGCCTCTAAGCGGATGTGCTACGCATATTAATTAGATCTCTTTCAGACACTGAGCAATTTCTCACTCTCTGACTTGCATGAATTCTTCAGATCTCTCCTAGGCAAGGTCTACTTAGGGTCCGTGAATTCACACTGGCAGAGATTGAGCACTTTGTGGATCCTGAGGATAAGTCTCACCCTAAATTCGCTGAGGTGGCACAATTGGAATTCTTAATGTTCCCAAGAGAAGATCAGGTGTCTGGACGAGCGGCTAGGAGAATGGCTATTGGGGAAGCAGTTGAACAGGTCTGGCTTTTGTAACCTATCATCCACCTTCATGTCTGTATGACTTTGTCTTTATTTTATATGTTAACAGTTACTTGTTTATTGCTGTTTGACTCAGGGGATTGTGAACAATGAGACACTTGGTTATTTCATCGGGCGTGCGTATTTATTCTTGACCCAACTTGGGATTGACAAAGACCGATTAAGGTTTCGCCAGCATCTGGCAAATGAGATGGCACACTATGCTGCGGATTGTTGGGATGCTGAAATCGAATGCTCTTATGGTTGGATCGAGTGTGTTGGTATTGCTGATAGATCAGCATATGATCTGCGTGCCCACACTGTAAGCATTTTTTGGGAAACTTGCACATTTTTTGGGGTTTCGTTATTATTGAAATTTATTTAGATCTGATGTGGCAGACGTTTGAAAGAAATTGCGATATTTGTCAAATTTGCAAATAAAATCACAACCTTCTATTTTACAAGAATTTCCAATACATTATTGCGATGACTGATCTACTGTGGTACATGTAGTTGAAAACCAGCTGACAAGTTACTAGCTGAAGCTTTTTATTCATACGCTTCATCATGTAGCTTTTGAGAAAACTAGCTTCCTTTAAGCTATTGTGTAGCTACCAAGCAAGTCTTATTGTAAAATAAGAGCCTTTTGTAAGTTATAAGTTGTTCCGAAACTCTTACCAAATTCACTTTTAAACAATGTTTCCTCGCACGCAGTTCAGTTAGCAAAAAGTAAAAAGTTGTGATTATATTTACAAATTCACAAAGGTCATGTTTTTTTTAGCAAACTTTTCTGCCAGATCAGATTTTCTTTTTTTTTTTTCTTTAGTTTTTTTTTTTATTATTATTATTATTATTTTTTCATCATCTTAAGTCGTTGCACTACGTTAGAGTCAGATGACCCAGATGGGTTTTGGTGCTTCATTTTGACAAATATGAGAAGGTGGTGATTTGATTTAACGACCTTACAAAGTCGTATTAATATTGTAATGGAAAAAAATGATTGTAATGTAACATGGAATTTTGCCTTCATAGTATGATTAGCACTGAATGAGAGAACATCATACGAGTGACAGTCTGGTTATTGCCTAAGTGTATGATTTGACCTTTTTTGTGGTAATACGTTTGCAGGATAAAAGTGGAGTTCCCCTTGTGGCACATGAGAAATTCACAGAACCTAGAGAAGTCGAGGTTGTTAGTCCATCATCCTCTGTGTATTTTGATTTTTGAGTAATTTGTTGGTGTGCTTGACTGTGGTTAAAAGCTGATTGTGAATGTATGGTCCTTTGCAGAAGCTTGTTATAGCTCCAGTTAAGAAAGAGCTGGGCCTTGCCTTTAAGGGTAGCCAAAAGATGGTGGTTGAAGCTTTGGAGGTCTATCTACAGCTATTATCTTTCTCTGTCCCAATTTTTATGCACTCCAGAAATAATTATAACTTCATTTTGCTTCATTGACAATATATATACATCTATATGGTTAAGTGAACTTGATAATTTTTTTTTTCTATAATTACAAACAGGCCATGGATGAAAAGGAAGCCATGGAGTTGAAAGCAACTCTGGAAGCCAAAGGAGAGGCCTCGTTTCGTGTTTGCACTCTTGAAAAGACCGTGAACATAAAGAGTAATATGGTCTCCATCTCCAAGAAGAAGAAAAAGGAGCACCAGAGGGTTTTCACTCCATCGGTTATCGAGCCATCGTTCGGTATTGGGAGGATCATATATTGCCTCTATGAGCACTCGTTTTACACGAGGCCTAGCAGAGATGGAGATGAACAGCTCAATGTCTTTGGCTTCCCGCCTCTTGTAGCCCCCATCAAATGCACTGTTTTTCCTCTGGTTCAGAATGAGCAATTTGAGGAAGTTGCTAGAAGGATTGCCAGGTCACTAACTGCCGTTGGGATCACGTACAAAATCGACATTACTGGTGCGTGTACTTTTGAAAAATAGAAAACACTAAAAGAAAATATCCCAAGTCAAAATATTAAAAAAAAACAACACTAAAAAACTGGCAACGAACCATGAGAAAAGCCCAAATTAATGATGCTTGATTATTTAGAGAAAATACATTCTGCAACCGTATATATGAATGTATCATTATTGACATGAAGGGCGCATAGTTCATTATTTCGAGGTGTTGTACACTCTGTTTTGATTATGATACTTCATCAAGAAGTCAGAATATTAATCTTTCAAATTCTACTAAAATACGGACAATTCACTTGTTATATTTTATTATAATGATGCAGGAACCTCGATTGGGAAGAGATATGCAAGAACGGATGAACTGGGAGTCCCGTTAGCAATCACTGTTGACTCAGAAAGCTCGGTGACTGTGAGAGAGAGGGACAGCAAGCAGCAGATTCGTGTTAGTGTTGATGAGGTGGCATCTGTGGTGAAGGAGTTTACAGATGGAGTGAGCACCTGGGGCGACGTGCTATGGAGATACCCCACTCATTCGTCTTGACTGCTCGAGAATATACAGACGTTTGCATGTCTTTCATTTTATGTTGTGGATACGTGGAATTTACTGGTTTCATTAGGAACTTGCAAAACAATTTTATAAGTATGGCAGTATATCCAGCGTGCTTGTTTTAGTTGGCTGGGAAGTTTGTTCTTATGTTATGGCACTATACTATGGTCTGTCAATTCCCGAATGAACTGATGGGCAAATGATTACATGGCCCCCCTCACTTTATGAAGATCAGTCCAAAAGCGGTAAATGACTTGACGAACTAGTAAATAGGTCGATAAAAAGTCAAAGACGAGTCATTCTATTGCGTGTTGAGTCATGCCATCACAGGCTATATTTTGCACACGTGTCAGAAGGCGAACTCTGCGACATACAATAGGGACATCTGGCTTTCTGTTTTTAAGGGATTTTGACTTTTGATTTTTAGTTAGGCAGTTGGCTTCTTTAATGCACTTGATTATCTCGATATGAAGTCTTCTTTATGTCCACACTCAAGTCACCCAAAGAACTCAAATATTCGGGTCGGCTGAAAATCGAGGTCAGCAGTAGCTGTTCTTTCCAATATCAATCTCACGAGTTAATAACAATTTGTTAAATAGTTCGGCCGAAAACATGATCATCGCTCGACATAGTACACGGGTGTTGTTCTAAGTTTACCATGTTTTGTATGGTGTCAGAAATTGTGATGACGTGTCGTGGATTGTCCAAAAACTTTGCTATGAATCAGATCGCAGATATGAGGTCACATGGATGCCACTTTATCCAGCCCAAACTGTTTCTCTCTTTTAGTAATGGGCTTATTATAACAATTACACTACCCAATTCTTATTGGACATTAGGCCCAATATCGTATTCCTCAAGGCCTTCTCTCGCTACTGAAATTTCTTTCCGATAAGGTCATCCCGGACATCAACTCACCGGCCAGACATCTGCCGCCGGCACTCGGGCCGCCAACGGTTGTGAAAAGCATGGTAGTTTTGAAAAGAGAACTATTTTATCTGAGATCATCATTTCGTCGGAGCCAAACTGCAGTTTTCTGCACAAAACCTGAGCGCACTTTTGCTTCATCGCAAGCTCTTTCCGTAACAGGTCATATTTGCTTCCTCTTTCTTCTAATTTCCATTATTGTCCTAAATAGCCATGCTCGTGTGCTGCTAATATGTGTACTTTATACTTGGGTAGTGGGCCGTACTCGACACAAATTTTATTAGTTCTTTTTCAAATTCCCAGTTGTGTAATTGACGAACTTGTTTTGTGTTAATTTGGTGCATAATCAGATAGGTTCAGTTTTGTGAAATCTGATATTGTAAGAAAAAGGGTGCAAGTTAAATGGTGTGCCAAACATTAGTTCGCGTCTATTGAACTAGGATTAGATGTAAGTCGATTCTCTTGTACGTTTTGTATTTCATTTCATTGTCTTGGAACTTTTTGTTATCTAATGATTATTTGAGCTATGCTTTCATGAATGATGCATTTGGTTGGTGGCTTTTCCAAGCTCCGGCTGTGAATTTCTTCTTGTGTTGATGATATCCTCAGATGATCAAACACTTTTCAGCATTCTTGAATCTTGCAAGCTGTCCCACAATTTCAGAACTGCAAATACTGTGCACAGTAGAATCATTAAACATGGGTATGGAATGTACCCATTGCTATTATCCACGTTACTGAAGGTGTACATGGCTTGCCAAAAACCCATTCTTGCTCAACAACTACTTGCCGAGGTATGTTGTCCAAATTTTGGCATCTCTGCAAATTTGCTGATTGATAGTTGTTTGAAGACTGGCGAAATAGATATGGCAGAGAAAGTATTTTCTGCTCTACCTATCCGAGATGTCGTCACATGGAACTTGATCATTGGGGGTAATGTCAAAAGTGGATTCTTTGTGGAAGCAATTGAGTTGTTTAAACAAATGTTAGAAACAAATATTGAGCCAGATGGGTTTACATTTGCTTCAGTCATAAACGCGTGCTCAAGGCTTGGAGCTCTTAGCCATGGAAAGTGGGTGCATAGTTTGATGATCGAGAAAAAAATCGAGTTAAATTATATACTTTCTTCTGCACTTATAGACATGTACTCTAGATGTGGTAGAATTGAAACAGCAAAATCCATCTTTAGCAATGCTCAGAAAACGGATGTATCCATATGGAATGCAATTATAAATGGACTAGCAATTCATGGGCTTGCTGTGGATGCAATTTCTGTTTTCTCAGCCATGGAAAGGGAAAAAGATATTTCACCTGATTCTGTAACCTTTATGGGAATCATAAAGGCTTGTAGCCACTGCGGCTTACTAGAACAGGGTCAATGGTATTTTAATCTAATGCAAAAAAGTTACTTGATTCGGCCGGAAATCGAGCACTATGGGGCAATGGTCGATCTTTTCGCACGAGCCGGACTTCTGGAAGAAGCTTATGCAATGATTAATGAGATGCCAATGGAGCCTGATGTTTTTGTATGGAGGACACTACTTAGTGCATGTAGAACTCACAAAAAATCCAAGTTGGGTGAAGAAGTTGTCGGGAAAATAAAGCATTTAGGCAGTGGGGATTATGTTTTGATGTCAAATATGTACTGCTCAACAAAGAAATGGGATTATGCAGAAAATATGAGGCAAACTATGAATAAGAAGGGAGTTCATAAGGCTAAGGGAAAGAGTTGGGTTGAACTGCATGGTATGATTCACCATTTTAGGGCAGGTGATAGGTCCCACCCAGAAACCGAATCAATTTATACACTATTGGAAGCTTTGACTCGTCGATCTAGAATGGAAGGTTATGTTTCTGTACAGGATTTGGTTTTGATGGATATATCAGAAGAAGAAAAGGAGGAGAACTTGAATTATCACAGTGAAAAGTTGGCTGTGGCTTGCGGGATCCTGAAATCTAGTCCTGGAACTGAAATATTGATTTCCAAAAATTTGCGAACTTGTCTTGATTGTCACAGTTGGATCAAGATTGTGTCGAAAGTTCTGCATAGGGTGATAAACATGAGGGACAGGATTCGCTTTCATAGGTTTGAGAAGGGCTCTTGTTCTTGTGGTGATTATTGGTAATTATTGACGGGAAGTTGTGGTTTTGAAACCTGAATGCTTTTTGGAACTACAGTTTTTCTCCCAATTGTAGATGAGGAAAGGGGGAAAATTATAGAGTTGATTGTTGGTTGAGATGTGTGAGGATTGATCTACATGGGCTGTGATATTGCCTTTCTACTGGTACATAGAATTTCTAGATTATTAGACAAAAATATCATTGAGGTCCAGTTGAATTACAAAAAACCACGAGCTATAGCTTTCTGAGATTGTAAATACTCGCCTCATCTTTGCTGCTCTGCTTTACAGATCACTCCCTCAGGACTAGAGCAAGATATTTGTCAAGTCAATTAAACTTAAAGCTTCCTAGGCTACATCATCAGAATTTCTCGTTAAGCTATATCAATGGAGTAGTTTTCTTGTAATTTATCCAAATTTATTATAAAGGGATCTGGCATGGCCCTCTTCTTTGATGAATATTGAAATTTCAATGGTTACAGAGAACCATTGACAGCCTCGATTGGGATTTTGAAGGAGCCAATAGTTTTCTCCAATTGAATCAAATGCCGGCTTCATTTCTTTCTAAACACAGACTATTTCATCTTAAAGATCTAAAAATTAGATCTTTACTTCCTGCTCCTTGGCAGCTACATGACTTGGGACCCCGTGCATTACAGTGACAACTCTCTCCTACTCGTGTAAGAACATTTCTTTTGTCTGGATACAAATCTTGAGTTTGTTTAATTAGATTTTGCGTATGCAAATTAGTCTTTTCCTAGTAATCTATGTACTCTCTTGTTTATAATTTTGTGTATGTAAGAAATTGAAATTTTTATAGGTTTGACTTGCATATATTGTAGGATTTGACTTGACTTCAGAGCTGCTGAAGGTATTTAATTTCTTTTTGGCATTTAAACAACAGGATGACCAAAGTACACACATAATACACACACTAAGCGAGATTTGTTTGCAGAATGCTATGGCAACAGGTTTAGCCGTGTTTCTAAGGTTTGTTTTGTTAACTGAATTTGAATATACACTCTTGAGATGCATGATCGACTAAGCCATGTGTATAGGGACTAGAGGCATTTTTCCTCCGTAAATCTCTGGAAGCTGGCTCTCATCTATGTCCTCCAGCAAAGTCTCGCGCAATCTCTTGTTCTCCACAAATACAATCTAGTACGAATAACGAACAAAAATCAAACAAAGGTATAAGAGTAAGACCACCACTACTAATTCGAAAAATCTCTCTCTTTGCCATTTTACCTTCTTCCTAGTATTTTGGTCGATAAACGGACAGATGATCTTCCACAGTGTCATGAAGACGTAAGGTACGTGAATGTTGTACACTTTCCCAAGTCTCTCTGGGTAGTAATCCTGTGTTTGGTTGGAGGAAGAAATATTCATTAGCTAGTGATCAAGAAGCAAAAGTCCATCCTCATTACATTTGATTTATTTTTATTTACTAATAAATATTTTTTTTGGACCTGTAAAATGTTAAGGGCGGCTACGCTTCCTCGAACATCACTATTGCAATAGCCATATCCTTGAAGATCCGCAATTATAGTGAACTTCTCCTGTCCATCAAGGTTGCTGAGAGAGAGGGAGAGGGGAAAGAGATTAAAATCACTTGAAAAATATAATGGCTTTAAGTGCAAATAAACCTTGCACATTTTTATTCAAAATCTTTCAATACTTCCTTAATAGTTGGAAAGTAGTATATGTACCTGCGGCACAATTTATCCAGAACAAACACCACATAGCCTGAAAATCCAACCAAAAAACCGTGAGAAACAAATGTTCTGAATGCATTGAAGAAAGCATTCGATGTGCGATAAAACACAAACGCTTGAATTCTTCTAAGCCTCCTTTGCTGGAAAAATGCCTGGAACCAAAAAGAACTGCTATGGGATGCCCTTGTTTGTCTTTGCCTTGCATGAACATCTTGTTTTGTGCTATTTGATTTGGTACCTCTGATTCAGAAATCGAACCTTTTGGAACGAATGTTCTCCTCCAGGCTAAGTATTTCGTCACCATTTGCGAAGCTTTCTCCACGTGAAGGTCACGTGCACGAAGAAACCTTCTCAGTGCAGGATCGTCTAGCTCCTGTCAGGACAAATTAAGCCCGAACTTTTTACATCTTCAGTGTTGAAAGTCTCGAATTCGTTTGGATCGTTATTTTCTTTTAAATATCATCCAATATTTTTTTTTCCATTTCTTTTTAGTTAGTTGTTTTGTTTGAGATGACGAGCTAACTGGTTTGGAAGTGGGGTTTGTAGCCAAACTCAAGGATTCACTAAACTAGTAGTTGTAAAAAAGGAATATATATATATAATTTTTTGTTTAGATGTTTAAATATTTCCTAAAAATTGTAAATTTGTTTTGTATTTATAATATGAACGACAAACCAAAAACTACTAAAAGATAATTAATTTGATAAATCATAAAACTTGATCACAAAATAAAAGTTACTGAATTTTAAAATATTAAGAATTTAAGTTAACCAAGCATTTTATAATTTTAAAAATTTTAGTTAAAAAGTTTAAATTTGTATAGACTACTCATCATCACAAAAAATTAACATATAGAAACACAAGAAATTGATATATGAGATTTTGAACCATCAGATGTTTGACATTTAAACTTAAGAAATCTTTGCATTTATTATGTGACCGGATTTTATTAACATATTCTTATTAACAAAACCCCTCTAAAATTCATTTTCAGTTTTTAAATTTATGTAAGATTCAAATACGCGCCATGCGTATGAAATATAAATGTTAATTGATCCTATATATCCGTAATCATATGGGATACAATCGTACAAACTCGATGGACAGTGCAGAAAAAATTTAAATTGAGATTTTATGACCAGTGAAAAAAGATAGTGATGAAACTGAAGATTCTAAATTGAAAATAACCATTTTTAAAATGATAGTTGTTATTATACATATTCTTACTAAAAATGTTGTGCTTCTAATATCATACTTTAAAAAGAAATATGACATATGTAATTATAAATATATATTTTTATTTATAAAATATGGAGTGTTTACTAAATATCATACTTTTAAAATAAAACATATGAAATTGTAAATATATACTTTTATTTATAAAATATGGGGTGTTTGCTCAACTAACCAAGTCAACGTCATATAATAATTTGTATATTTCAATAACATGATGAACGTGTCTGGCCCAACAAATAAAAGTTTTGGGGACAATCTACCAACCAAATCAAATTGACTATATAAGTAGGTCAAATTTAAAATAAGGATAATTGTGGAAACTAACCCTAGTTAAATTTAGTCTAGTAATAAACTCTGAAACAAAGAGGCGATATTTTTTAAAAATCTATCATTATATTAAAAGATTAACCATTTAACACTTTTAGCAAGTTTTTCACGCCAAATACATTTAATGTCTCATAAAAATAGAGCAGCATTAAATGTTACCCTTAAATCATGGCAGTTGTTAATTTAGTTTGGAGAAAATCGTGGCAACTAAAACAAACAACATTAATTACGGCTAATTTAATATTTAAATGGTAAACAAATATTACTTTTTTATAACTGATTTAAATTTACGTCTGTTTAAAAGTAAAAAACTATTTTTGTAATTTCAACAAATTTGTACTCTTTAATGTACGGCTGATTTAAAATTAAGAATTTACTTTTGTATTTTCACAAAAAGTTGTATAAAGAAGTATGGCTGGAATAATAATAAAAAATTAATTTTTTAAACCATATTTTGCACTCATAGATACCAATTATCATCAAATTTAAGATTTAAAATTGTGAAGAATGTATATATATATGTGGACTGATTGAAAATATATGATTCCTTAAATTAAGGAATTTTTTCCGTGAAAAAAAAATATAAACTTTAAATATAGATTTTATTAGTAGTGTATACCAAAGAATATTGTTACATTTAAAATTCCTATGAAGAAAAATTCTATTAATTTTCAAATTCAACATCTCATAAAAATAATATAATACACATTTACATTCTATGAAACAATATTTAAAACCCACCGTTCAACATGCATAAAATGTAAAATTACCTAACATGAATCATTTTAACTTTCTAAAATCAGTACACAATTTGCTCGGTATGTACTAATAGTCTAATAGTTAAGAGTTAATATTTGCTATGACATCTATTGGTTAGAAAGAATTCCATTTTGTATGGAATTCGAAATGAAAAAATATATTCTGAAAATCAAATCTGGTTTAGAGATCGATTTCTTAATGGCCTTAAATTATGCAAATATATTGTTTCAGTTTTTAGGATTCTTTTTTATGATCTCAGTCTTTGCATTATATGAAATCTATACTTATATAAAAAGTCATCCTATTTACTAGAAATAGTAGGCAGAAAAATCAAAGGTAATTAATGTTTGCTGGAAATAGAATGATATTAATTACAGATTTGTTTTGGTATTTATAGGCTTGACATTAAGGATTTGTTATGAGATAAAAGTCAGAACCGATTTTTTTACCTTTGCTAGAAAAGTCAAAGGTAAGTATAGATTTATTTTATCCCATAACATCGGTTTAATTAAGAAAATCCCATCAAATCAGTTTTATATGTCAAACCTATGAATAAAGATTTAATCGGTCAAAATTAAATCCTTATTTTACGTCCCCCATAAATAAAGTAGATGTCAAGCCTAAATTGAAGGGTTTAGTTGTCTATATAGTCATTGATTTACGTAAATACATCTAATATTTAAAGTTTGTGTAGATTGAAAATTCCTTCTTATCTTTTTACAAAAATCTTATTATTATTGTATAGAAAATCAAACTCATAATGTTGTGTACAAGGTGGTCTTTAATGATATATGATTGTTTGTTTGTCGAATACTATCTTATTGTATAATTTTCCTCCGTATTATAAAACTTTTATTGAATATTGCATCTTATAATATAGTATTCCTCAAATAAATATATTCCGTGCCACGCACGGGTCACGTACTATACATATCCCGTACATTTTTCTGTATTCATGTATATAATTATAAGTCTAGATAAATAGCCTTAAAATTGTGCACCCCGTGCATCGCACGAGCTCTGTACTAGTTTTAAAAATACAGTGGTGCGGAAATTTGCATTTTGTACAAGATTAAGCATGCATATATTATGAAAAATATATTATTTTAATTACAATCATCAGATAATAACTTAGTGGTGAAAAAATAAAGCCACATAATTCTGTGGCAAGATCACATAATTTTGTGTTTAGATATAACTTGTAAAATCTATAGATAATTATTTATGGAGCATTACATATGAGATGGCACGGGTACGTCACCATATCGTGCTTCCTAGATATCACACAAGACACCTCACAATTTCAACTACCCCTAAAATTAAAAATACATCATTTATTAATTTTGTATGATGTACCAGCGCAGTTAATTCGTAATAATAGTATGCTTAATAATGTTGAAAGCGAACTATTGGGAGAAGTTTTGTAATTTATTCTTAAATCAATAGAGATCTAACGGAATCATACACGTCTTTGTTGAAGTTAGAAATTAGTTAATTAGGCGCGCTTCATGTGTCTAATTGAATATACATCGTGTAAACAATCTTCAAGTCCAACACAAATAACACAACCGTGTCTGTTTAATTATTAAAAATGGTCATATTTAAAAATAGAAAAAGAAATATACATATAGCAATTAATATTAGTATGATATGATAGTTAGATAGACATAACAACCAGACTGACCGACAAAAAAATAAATCAATAAAATTGTGATGAAAACCTTTTTTTGGTGTGATGACTGTTTTCTACCGCGTGCATGATTCTACAGCAATTGGTTTGAGGTAAGAAAACCAACATGTAACAATATTTTACTATTTACTATTTAGTGAATAGCAATTTAGATTTTTTTTTCTTTTTTGTTTCATTCTATATGTCATTTTGAAAAATCAACATGAATTAATTGTATACTAGTTAATTAATTATATTTGGGAGTCAAATATTTTCACACTGAAATCAATAACGAATATTTAGGACATTCAAATATTTAGTAACATAATATTTTCTAATTTATATATATATAATAAGAATTAACATTTACCATAAATAGTAGTAAGAAAAGTCAAACCACATTTATTATATACTATTTTCAGCAATTTCTTTATTTTACATTTTAATTTTAATTCATTATCAAAAAATTGGATGGTTCCTAAATTAATGGGTTTTAGATGCTTTCAAAAATTATAAAATCATTTAAAGTCGGATGGTTCCTAAATTAAGGTTTACATACTTTTCAAAGTTAAATTAATGTTTAAAAACTTTTCAAAGTTGTAATCTTTATGACATCTTTTCTTTTTGACTTTTAATAATAAAATCATTTTAAATATATATATTCTAATCCAAAAATTCAATCATGTTAATATATATATATATATATATTGAACGCTAAAAATATTCTTTAAATTGCATACTAATCAATTAATCTTGATTTTTTTAAAATTACTATGTTTATTTTTTATTAATATGCATAAAATAAAAATAAATAATTCATCTTTAGATATATAATTTACAATCTTAATATACTATTATTTGGTGTAGACATATGAATCATAAATTTTTTTTATTTCATAAAATTAAATATTATATCTAAAGAAAATAAGGAAATTACTTTTGATTAATCGGGTGATTGAATTAGGGTACTGCCCACGTTGATTGAATTATTTTTAGGTGATATTTAAAATAGTCAAAAAACTTTGAAACAACTTAGTTGGTCCCAGTTATGTATCAGTTTGACCAGACCAAATAGATTATTGAACATAAATATAAATTTTAATATTGAAAATACTTTATTACGTGAATGTGATGTAGTCCAAACTTTAAATAATCATATTAACAATACTTTTATGACAACATGATTAATGATTAATGAATATTTGTATATCATTTTATTATTATTTATGTGAGCAAAATAATTATTTTATTATATTTTTTTATTAATGTACGGTAAATATAAGGTTTTCAGAACCGGACCGTCATCGAAACGATCAAGTTATTTATTAAATCATTTGTGGTTGTTCAAATTTTAATACATAATACTTATATATATATATTTAGTACTTTTTGTAATTAATTTAAATAAAAAGTGTTACTTAAATATCTAAACAATTTATAAATTCAAATATTTAAATTAATTGATAAAAAATTTATAAATCTCTATTTTATTTAAATATATAATTTTATTTAAAATTATTTTTAATGTAACAAAATTTGTTTAGAAAATCGTATCGATCCTACCAATCCAACAGACTGGTGTTGAAAGATTTGATAACAAATATTTTATTCAAGCGCACTAGACTGGTTATAAACTGGTTCTCGGTCCATCCGGTCAGACTGTGTCCAACCCGGTTTAATTTAAAAATAATGGATAAATCATGATTAATGTTATTTATTTATTCAATTTATAATAGAATCAAAATATTGTTTTCCCGTGCATCGCACGGGCCACGCACTAGTGTGTAAAAAACACGAGAGGAAAAATAAGTCAGGGAGAATACATTGCAATATGCATAAAAATATTCAGTTTTATTGTGAGATATTTAAACAATATACATCCACACACAATATTTCTAGAAATTTGGTCCCAATCAATAACCATCTGAAATCTCCCCCAAAATAGGATCTCATAAACGTTAAAAAAAAATATTAATTAGACCGAAAAAAGAAAAATAAAAATGGCTGGTGAAAAGTTGACCATACACAACTTCAATCCAATTCAAACAGAAGAGAATAATGTATCATCACTTAATCAATTTTCTAGAAAATAAGATCAGCCATCATCATACAACTTGAACTGTCTGAAACACTAATAATAAAACCCTAAAATGTTTTTGAGGAGTAATAAAGACAATTGCATGTGTACCTTGCAAGATGGGTCTTTCTTCTCAAGAGTGGCTCTCAGAAGGTCAACCCTTCTTTTTTCCTCAAAATTATTCTTTTCATCTTTCTCTTGCACTGTTTTTTCTGGAGAATAAAAGATGTCTTCACCTACTTCTTCCATGATCATTATCAATGAACAAAGTTTTGGTTGAGCAAAAACAAGGAAGATGTTTCTTTTGTTGCTATTTGTAGAAGAGTATATAGCTAGGACACTAATTACTAATTAG